CTTGTTATTTTAAACAAAATAACACAAGGTATGAGTAAGAAAGAGAGTATCTGTTGATTTAAACTATTTTAGCGCCACCCTAATATAAACATACCATATAATATGTAGTCTAACTCAAAATACCTTTATTCATTAATCCTTTTTTTGAAATATAATTTGTATACATTTGCTGAGAGTTATAATGATATGCAAACAGAATTTCATTGATATTAAGATTTTGCAAAATTTTATTTATAAGCTTTCCCGTACTGCTTGAAGGTATTGGTAGCCCCATAATTACAGAAATTGATGGCACAAAGTCTGTTTGCATTATTTCTTCTCTAGTTTTTTTTTTTTTTTAAATAGTACATTTATAGATAAAACAATTAATTATTACCAAAAAATACAGTTTGTTATTATTGAACATACTTTATAGATCCACCACATTTCCTATTTTTAAAATAAACAAATAAAGGAACCATTACTTCGCCAGTCGAGGATCCACCATGTCCACCATTGTCACGCATTCCATGATCACCACAAACAATTAAAACAGATGGCAATTCAGATTTTTCAGAATCCTAGTAATTTTTCAGAAACAGTTAAAATATGACCAACTACATATTATATTTTACTCTTTCAGTAATCGGAATAAAAATCCTCAAAAATATTTTGATAATTAATATTAAATATTAAAATAAATAATAATAGTCAATAAATTGTTTATTTCACAGTTTCCTAATATTTTAATAATAATGTTATTTACAGGGTTATTGACTGTACACTTTAATTGATTTTTTGTTTAAATTGTCAAATTATTTATACATGCATATTACTTACAATTGAGTAACTTTTAATGTAGGTAATAATTTTATTGTATTTTTAATTTTTTAATATGTAGTATAATGTATCTGATAACTTTTAAAAATACCTACTTATAATTATATTTATTACAATTTATAAAAATAACAAAACTCAATCACATTTTTTACAGAATTATGCATATTGCAATAAAGACAAAATAATATTGTTGTTAATATTTGAAAATGGTAGTATAAATATAAAAGCAAATTAAATTGTTTTTAATATTTATTTCAAACATTAAATATAACTTGGTTTTTGAATATTATGATGATTCTTAGAATTTAATTTTTAATTTTTAGTAATTGCTGGACTTGCAATATTTAAATATTTAAATAAACAAACAAAATCACAAGTACCTACCTATACATTTATAATTAAATATTAATGATGTTGTATTGTTGTAAGTGTTTTAAAACTATTCAAAAACTTTCATTAGAAAATGTGGGCAGTATTATTCCGGAGATTTTTATTTTTATTCACTCTCTCATTTAACCAAAACATAAAATTTAATCAAAATACAAAATTATATAATAATAGTATTCACCATGTAATTAACAATACGCTGAATAATATTATCCATCTCAGACAATTTATTCGGCATCAAATTACTTCGAGGTCCACCTGTATGGCCAATATGATCAAGACCTAAATAATGAAGTATCATGATGTCCCAATCGGCCGTTGGTTTTAATTCATTTTCTAGATGACGAGTGACATTGTTATCAACCTAAAGAAAATATATTACTTAGTTTAATGTTAATATTCATCTAAAACATGTACTACAGAAAAACGAATTACTTCAGTGTAATCAGATATGTAAAAGGATGTAGTTCCATCATGTCTGACAAATGAATTTGGAAATAATTTTAACCATGTTTCATCCCCATAAAATATAACTTGTTTATTAGCTGCACGGGCTTGGTAAATAATACTGTCTTGTTGCACAGCCGAACTATCCAGATTTAACACAAGATCTATAAAATTTGGCACTGTACCTGTAGTTAAGGCCTGATAATCAAACATGTACTGGCTTATTTACAATTCATTCATAAATCACTACGTCACTATAACTGTACTTTTAAACGTGGCATCGTAACTGTAGGAGCGTTCACTCTGGTACGAAATAAACAACTTCGGTTCTGCTTTATGAGATCAGTAGAAAATGGCATATTTACATTGTATTCAGATTCCGTGAAAAAATCATAACGAATACCATCTATTACCATCAATACCACTTTGTTAACAGACTTTCGATACAAGCGTCTAGTGTCAAAACTAAAAATGTTTTCAAATTACAAAAAATTAATCATGTTATTAACTTAAAATATTAATTCAAATTATTTTTTTTAAGCACCAAACACTATAACAAAAGTTACAATCGCTGATTACAATTTGTTATTACTTATTAGTCGTCATTAAAATTATCTATTGCATTAAATTCACAAGAATACACAACTAGGTGCCCTCCAAAAATATAAGTATAATAGGTACAGGTATCTATAAACTATTAGCTTTTGAACTAAGAGCAATTAAGTGAGGGGGCTTTCGAATGGTAGGTTTTCATAACATGAATCTCAATAATTTATAACTATAAATTAAGGAGCCTGGCGAACCGCGCTAACTAGTGCACATTTTTGAAGAGGTCAATCAATCGATGGTTGAGAGTAGTAGTAGACAACGTAGAACAAATTTAGGGGGAGTGAGAAATAATTTTTAAAAAAAAATGATATTAAATTTTGAAGTTACGTAATCCGAGAAAATTTCAGCTGTGAGGGGTTCAACTTTTAAACCCTCCTCCCCCTCCAAAATAAAGGTACAGCAATGGTAATAGGTAACTGTTTTGTAATTACCGCCAAGGTTCCGAGTCGTTTTTGTTCGGCCATATAGTCGACGGGATATCGTTTGGTGTTGACGTGCGGCTGTCGTTGTAGCCGAACGAAAAGAACCCAAAGAGGAATAGCAAATTGGCGAAAATCGTGCACGACGACAGGTAAAGCAGAGTGACCGACTGCTTGGTCAGCCGCATAGTGTGACTGGACGAGTATAATCGTTGTTTGTAACGATTTTTTTTATCAATCTCACAAGACTCGTGGCGGCGGCAATTGGATCATATTTTTTGAGTACGAACACCGTTTGCTGTTACCATTGTAGTACAGAACCTACAATTAGTTAAGTGCAATAATAACTGCTCATCCGAAATGTCTGTTTGTTGAACACACCCACACCATAGTTATCTTTATTCTAAGTACCCATACCAGTATGGCAGAGCACCACAAGCTGTGCGCCACAGCTGCGAGTTTTAAAACGACTCAAATTCAAATAACTACGACTGCGACTCCAAACTCCAAAGACGGGAGTCACAAAGCGTAGTCGTGTGTACGACGCCAAAGGCCAAAACAACAACAAATAACAACACTAACAGGGAATTATTTACATAACCTGAAAACTACACCGGTCACTATAGATAATAATAAAATGTATTTACTATTTATCTATATATTCTGTTTATGTATGGTCGTGTCGGTCACCGATTAACCGTTGTGAAGTTAGTTGCGCGACCGATTGTCGAATGGCGAGAGCGATTAGCGAATGCCGATGGATTACGGATTTTTAAATATTTTAAATTTTTGTATGAATATTAAATTATTATTATTTTAATTTTATTATAGGTACTGGCAGTTAAATAGTATTTACTATTTACTATTATTTAGTAACTGCTAGGTAAGCACTAGTAAATCCGAACTCCAAAATCATAAGTCATAATACAAATTTTATACAAATATGAAATGCATGTAATGATTTACTGTATTTACTGTATTCACTATTCATGCGGTATTTAGTTAGTAGTTACCCAGTTACTACCTGCCTACTATCTTCTGACTATTGGTTAGCTGTTACTAGATCGGGCTAGAACTACGCCTACCATGAGTCCATGACCTATAATTTATAAACTTCAGTAATAATAGTATAGTTATTCATTACCACATGCAACAAATGTTATAACTTATAAGCAGTGGAAAAAGCCTGTAGAAAATTCACCGGGACCAAAATATCTCTTGTTGATCGTCCTTTACTAATTACCGATCATCCCTTAGATGCTTAGAATTTAGATCGTTAATTGACATTAAACATAACGCGTTTTCCCGTCCGTAGTGTCGAAACTTGGAAATCGAAAGTAGAAATATTCAACACTAATGAATAGTGCTGCTCTACAGCTCAAAGTTTTAACTACCAGACCAACCGACAAAGAGAATCGCACAACCGAGTGGTACTGTTGCAGTACTACTCCGTCGCTGGAAAGTGATTTATTGAAATAGTGTAATAGTCAAAGATGGAAAAGATCAATAAAATCACTTGGATTTAATCATGTGGAAACCACAGCTGGTTGACTCCAGCGTGCTTTACTAACTGCCTCTGACAGTACGTTTCCGACACCTGAGCACGACTTTTGAATCGTTTTATTTATATAATAATATAAACTATTTTATATTTGAGCACTACGCGGAAGGTGGTTTAGGAACCAATTTGAGACGAACGGACCACCATTTTAATACATTTTTTCTTTTTTCCTTCACGAAATTCGTGGTTTAATGATATGTCGATTACGATTGAAAAAAAATTTGTAGCGCCTCGAAATTTTGAAAACTGCAATAATTTCATATCACGAAAATTGCGATTCATCTTATAACTACCGACCCACAGGCCCCAATGGCCCAATGTAATAGTCTTTACGTCGATCGCTTAATGCCACAGTATAAGTAATCAGTACTGCACCGCACTTATTGTCGCCAATCAGCAGTATAAACTATACTGACCCGGTAATAATATTTACCTAATAATCATATTAGGTCAGCGGTATAAAGTACACACTATAGTCTATAACTATTAACCATGTAGACATATTTATAGTAGTCTACGACAGTACAACACCCGAACACCGTCGCACATTATTTTAATATTTTCTCGGAGTTCCAATTCTCTCTCCGTTCTCCATTTTACCATTATCATTAATCACGCGCGTACACGACCATGAACATAGTAATAATAAAATAGTTGTACACCATACACGACACCCGTTCCACACTTCCACCGGTGCAACGCCACTGCAACTCGCTCTACACTCGTGCTCAGTGCAGCTCGTCTTATTATTATTACTATTATTACCGTCGCCGACGCGGTATTAAACATCGAACGCTCGAATGCGAGCAGGCTTCATCCCATCAACTACCCCGCCGACATGTTTTCATTTCGTGATAATAATATTCTCGAGTTGTGAACGACCGAATTACAGTGAATACACCGAATATTGAGATTGTTCGTGAATAATAGCAGTTTTGGACACTACTCGGCATTGTAACAAGACGTGTGGACGTATTTTAGTGCACTAATTTACCGTATAGTGCTATTAGTGCAGTTATTGCAGTAGTCGTAGTCGTCGTCGTCGATCACCAACACACGCGACTTTATTGATAATAATAATTTAAAAATACGATTACACAACAAACACACGTCACACACACACACACACACACACACACACACAAACACACACAAACACACACACACACACACACTCTCACACACACATCTCCGAAACCGGTAAGAGGAGAAATAATATCACATATAATTCACATTATTGTTCAGAACTGCAGAAGGCAACGACCAGCGCTCGGCAACAACAAACCGCCGCCGCCGCCGCCGCCGCCGCCGCCGCCGCCGCCGCCGATTCCACATTTTGTCGTCCGTTTACAGTGCGGTACTTACTCAGCATCCGTTCCGATATCATCTCTTTTAGTTTAGCGCAATATTAATATGTCTGTGTTACCGCGGAGAATACTCAAGGAGACCCAACGTCTGATGCAGGAACCGGTGCCCGGAATCAGTGCCAAACCGGACGAAGGAAATGCCAGGTGAGACGCGTCTTCCACGCATAGTGTGTGGAAATAAATCGACGATGCTCCTACTATAATATAGGCCAATAATATTATTTTCGTGAATAAATGTCTGCGCGGTCTGGGTACACTTGGATTCTATCCTGATTGCGTTTGTTTAATTTTTTTGTCCCCCCTCCGTCGATGCGAACAATAATCACGATAGCGTACGTCGGTCATCGTTTTATTTAATTTTTTTTTTTTATGCCACAGGTATTTTCACGTCAAAGTCACGGGGCCCGAAGACTCGCCATTCGAAGGGGGCCTGTTCAAGTTGGAACTATTTTTGCCCGAAGACTATCCAATGTCAGCGCCAAAGGTTCGCTTCATCACTAAAATATACCATCCAAATATTGACCGACTTGGAAGAATATGTTTGGACATACTTAAAGACAAATGGTCACCAGCGTTGCAGATACGTACTGTTCTTTTGTCCATACAAGCGTTGTTGAGCGCACCAAATCCAGACGATCCATTAGCAAACGATGTAGCTGAACTGTGGAAAGTTAATGAAATTGAAGCCATACGCAATGCTAAGGAATGGACACGCATGTATGCCTCAGAAAACTAAACAGTACGCTTTAAGTGAGGAGTATAAAAATAAAGTTAAAGGTTAATAATTATAATAATATAAAATACTCTGAATGAAAACCATTCTAAATCGAGCAATATACTTATATATTTTTTTCCAACAGTTGTCTTTTAACTAATGGAAATTTATTAAGAATTATAGAAAATGGTAATGATGGAATATAATTGTTAACATATTGTTGTTCCCTCAAATTGTATTATTATGCCTTTGGTATGTAATCACAATGATAATTTAAAAGGGTAGGAAGTTTTACTAGCCTATTCCACTGAATGAAATATAGAACTGTTAAGTCATCAGTGAATACTAGTAATTTACTTATATATATTTATGTAAAACTTATGTATTTTCATTTTAATGTTGTAATGCTTTTCATCAGTTATATCTTAATTTAAACTTGTTCGTAATCTTTTATTATTCAATTTTTTTTTTATGATTATTATTATATTGCTGAGATTCATCATTCTTGTGTGAATAAAACATTTATTTAAGACTTACCTAGCCTTTGAGTAAACTATTATGCACCCAATGGGAATGTTTAAATCACTATCCTAAACACTGGTTTTTTTTTACAGTTAAAAATACATTTATTTGGCCTTCAAATACACATTTTTTTCATTAACCTTACATTTGCTCATTTTTTCTAGAATAAAATTGATAATTTGGATGTATTAAATCTTTATTGACAATGACTAAGCAACTCAAACAGTCTTATCACTTTAAGAGGATATCAGTAAAATTATTTTATTGTTAGAATCTATGAATAATTGGTTTTAGATTGTAAGTAAGACGCAATTTGTATATCATTGGTTTTACTGAACAATACACTCTCATTCATTGTTACTTAAGTCTATACAAATTAATGACATCCTCTTCATTTTGTTTGAGACAAAATTATTTTAATTAAAAAATAAATATGTTTGTAATGCCTTGTGGTTTTAAAATTACAATTAATTAATAGTTTACAATACCTGTGTTTTGAATATTTTAAGCGAACTTGACATGCGTTGTAGTTTTGTCAGTGAACATGTTAACATTTTGTTTGTACTCTAATTGTTGTATACTTAAAATATACTTGTATACAATTAAATATGATCATTTAAAAAAAATTATATTTGTTAAATATAAGAAAAAAAATTAATTTAAAAACTCAATATATATGATTCGTGGACTAAAACTTTAAAAATAGAATAGATTTATTTATCGAGTATTAAAAGAGACTTTTCAGAGAGTCCGGGATTGACACTTCATAACTACAGAAATAAACCTAAAATAGAAGAATTTAGTTTTGAAATAATCACCAAGATGTATTCCACACTTTATACTGTTCTGTTGAGGTCAGTTCCACTCTGCACAACACTAGTAACTAACCAATTTACATTTTTATTCCAAGTGCAATAATTTTGCAAATGGCAAACCTAACAACAAAAGTGGAGTAAAAATTTAATTTTCTGAGTTAAAGCAGAATTCTGGAAAGTTTTCTTAAAAAGTACATACTTCACCTACTAAGCTAGAAAAAAGCATTTTGTTTAAAAAGTTGTGTACCTTCTTTTTCAACATCTTTTGCGATATACATAGTGTACTAAAGTCCTTATGACATATTTCTCTGTTGAACCTAATATTTTTGTGAATACTAAGGGAAGGTTAATAGTGTGGGGGCGCTTCCCCGGTATAGTTGAGTGAATCACCATCTATTTCTAAGAATAGTATGTTAGATTACATTATTAGTATTCTTAATTAAATAAGTTGAACTAACTTTTGCCCAAAACATTGCATACAACTTGCAAGTCAAACAGTCCTGTATTTAGAGGGAGGCCAGGGTTGGACATTGCCCCCTCCCTTAATTTCTCCAATACATTTTTATTGATTTTCTTTTGTGTTTAAATATTATACATCTCAATGTGGGTTTTTTTGAATATATTGTGTATTTGGTTTGTGTGTGGTATGTGGAAATTTTATGTTTAAATATATTTCTCGTTTGTTCTTGTAAGAGGTGTGAAAGTTAATACGTTTGAATGACAAATTATACTAGGTCTGTATTAGGGTAGAGAATTATAATATTATCTCCTATTAACATACTTTGCCCAAAGTACCAAAATATTGCCTTGAGCAAATTGTAGATTTTAATAATTTTTATATTTTAGTCTTAATATAAAAACCATTTATTTTTTGAAGAACATTTTAAAGTTTTTTGTTTACCTCAAAGCTATTAGTACTTGTTAGAGTGTTAGCTCTTTATCTTAACTTTTAAAAAAATACATTTTTTAATTGTCCAAAAATGTTTTGGCCTCATATAACCATAACACAAGTCATCTGCTCATATTCATAAGGTCCTTACAATTTTCATTTATTTTGTACATCATGATTTGATGAGTTATAGAAAATTAGGACCCCGCATGGCCACATTTAAAAAGTCCTAAAATTACAAAATTATGCAAAATATAATTTTATAATATACAGAATCATTAAGTCATAAAAATACATTTTGGCATAAACTATTAATTTTTTGAGCAAAACATGTAGAACCATATAAATACCTCTCCTGACTAATATTTATGTTCAATGTATATAAAATATAATAATTCATACTTTTAAAGTGCCCCCCCCCCCCAATGTTCTAATTTCTAATTATGATTTTGATGTACCTACTTCAGGTCAGGTTCATGACCATAATAGCCTAAAATTGGTTCAAATATTTTATTGTATATAAACACTAATAATGTAATGTTGTGGCAACAATTTCAAATCTACAATTAATATATTTTTAATTTCAACAAAATTGTAGAAGCAATTTGAACTTCTAACACGTCTTATAAAAAAAAAGTTGTGCCTTTGAAATGTTGATATATATAATGTAAGAAAAAGTTGAGGAACCTTGTATTCAATTTTTTAGCCTTTGGGTATGAGAACATACATTTTTATTTTCAGCTACCAGTAATGTGAATTAAATAATATTTTCTGATCAAGAACTTAATAATCTGATGAAAATAATGCTGATCAAATTTAATCAAATTACCCATCAATTATAAATATTCTTCATTTTATGTTTAACAATAGTTAATTAAACATCTCATTACAACTTAATATATTATAGTGAATTTACATAATTTGAAAATAGTTGCAATTTGAGTTTACACAGCTGTGATGAAAGTGTAATAAATATTTTGAGGAATAACCCCTCCACAGTAGAATTTTGTGACATTGTGACAACCTGGTTTTTAGGATGAATTTTAGTATTATGTTTGCACTCACTACAGCTATATGCCTATATTACTATGTTTTATGAGTATATATTAAAAATTTGAAATTTTACAATATAATTATCTATAATATCTCAAACAAATCAAGAATCTTATTTAAGTTTTCACAATATCTTAAGAACAGTTAACTGTTTAATTTTTATGGTTAAATTCATGATCATTCTTCCTCAAAACTGCACAGTGCACATATCAATTTTGTGTCTACGTCATTTTTATTTAAATCTTTGAACTGTATATTTTGTACAAGGTTATGTAATTAATTATTATTTAATATATAAATTTCAAGTGACAGTATGTTGCAGTATTTAAAATATTTTACAGCCCTCCTGAAAAAAAATTGGTAGTTCTTTATTGCTGATATATTATAAACTTTATACACTTGAAAGCTTGAAGTTTTTAAAAAACCATTAAACCTGGGCTGTATACAAATATTTTAGATTTAAACTGGTATAAGCATATTTTATAAATTTAAAATCATAATACATATTAATATATTATTATGTATAGATATATATAATAAATATATATTTTAAATATTTATTTTATTTTTATTATAATACATAATATTTAAGTCTAATGACCACAATAAATATTAGGATTAAAAATTACATCATAACATGTTCATTCACGACAATGACTAGAATAATTAGGAATTAGAATTGTCACAGCTAATGCGTCCATAGACACATTTTATGTATGATACGTAAATTTGAGTTGTTCAAATGACGACAATGCTGTTGTGTTTACAATGATGTTGGTCAAAGTATAAATTAATACAATGCTACAGCAATGTCATATACATTAGCAATAAGGTAATTATCACAAATAAAAAATAAAATAACAATAACAACATTAAAAAAATAATAATAAAAAATACCAAATAAAAGTATATAAAAAAACAAAACATAATGTATGAAAAAATAAAAAGTAGGGCCTTAATTAGATTGATTAGACTTAGAAAAACAATTCAATGTATAGTACAATAATATAATAATTTTTTTGTGATATGGCAATATTTGATAAATTGTGTTTAAATGTGTATGCGATGTATATTAAAATCATCATGTAGATGTCCTCTCTAATTATTTAGAGTTTCAAACCTCAAAATGCACAAAATAACAAAAAACATAAATTGAATATTAAAATTAAACAGTATTTGGAAAATTGTTGTTTCCATATTTCTTTCTTTTTTTCAATCCTTGATAATATTTTTATTAAAAAGGAAATGGGAGGAGAAGACACCGGCAAGTTGTGCAAGAACCCTTTACTAGTCCACAAACTGACCAGGTTGTGTATCAATTGTTTAGATGGGTACAAAACCTAATGTGTACAATATATTTTGTTGAGTAATACCGCGAAATCTCAAAAATATACTTTTCTTCTTGACTTTTAACTTAACTCATAATGGCAAATTATTTTTACACTCATTGTATAGACTATTCATTTTTAAGACTAGATGAATACAGGTGTCTCTTGACCAGTAAGAAGACGAAACATGGATGTTGGCATTGTTTTCATCAAAATCTGTAAAATAAACACATCAAAGAATATAAATATAATAATATTATAATATAAGATAGAACAATAAAAAAATGTTTATTATTTATCACTCTGTGAATTCAGCATTTATTTATACAAGTAACTGGGTTTCGGTATAATGATACTACTATACTCTGTACTCTGTCCAGCAACCCTGAAAATGCATTTTTTCAGAGCATTTAAATAATAATGCAAGATCTAATTTTTCCCACTATAGTCACCATCACTGCCACCAGCTATAAGCAGTCTAAAATGTGTTTTGGTTGCCGCCTGGTTGCGGTCTTTTGCTGTTATATAGTATAAAGTACATGTTCAAAAGGTATAGGAATTTTAACTATTGTAAATACACAATTTATTATTTTTGATTAAATTAATATTTAAAAAAATACTACAAATCAGATGTGATATTACAGATAAAACCGTTAATTATTAGTTAATAAATATTGCAGTATCACATTGTAAGAGCTCACAATAAAACAACTCAAATCAATAACTTCATTTGTCAGAAACAAATTCAGATGTACTTCAAAAAATGGCAACACCATTAGAATCAGTGCACTATCTGGATGGCAATATTTCAAAGTCGATTCATTTCAATAGCATAAAAGTTAATGATTAAATTTTAAAAAAAAGATTTAAGTGTCCCCCCCCCCCCGTGTTTATAAAAACACCTCATATTATGATCTATAGGCAATTCATTAATGTAATTTATTTCTCAAAGTATTTAATTTGTTGAAGCTAAAAAACATTGTCTTATTACTTCTCCGACTGAAGTTGCCAATAGGTTGACAATTTTTTCATGCGGCACAGCTACCACACTTTGATTGT